TGTTAAAAACTTCAGTGTCACTCTTCCAGGTGTTAGGTTGAGCGTACCTCATGCTAATGATATCGGCCTGGAAGCAGTGGTGCTGCAGTACACCGACTGGATGGATGAGAACAATGAGATAAAAAATCGTGATGCCATGGATGACATTGTCGGTGACCACAACGTCATCTGCCCGCTGGCCCACTTCGCTCGCTCTTATGCACAACACAATGCCCTCAAGGCTAACGTGGGTGGCATCAACTTTGGTGGGGTGAACAGTGGAAACTCACAAGGTAGGATACCCGAGTACCAGTGTGGTCTGTCAGATCTAGAAGTATATATATCCCATACCCAGACACGCTACTGTTTGAAGGACCTGCTTTCTGGTGATAGAACAATTTGGTACGATACTTAAATTAAACTGTGCGTTAAATTTCATGTTTTCACTTTTTAATGCAGATGATAGCTGTTTAAAATATGCTATAATGTGCAGGACAACTGTACAACAATTGAATCTGCATTTGTCATGTAAGCGATGTTGATACTCTGATGATAGATCAGTAAAATATTCTAGTTGGAAAAATGATTTATTTTTTAACTGTCCTTGTAAAAGATTAAAACATATCTGTAGTTTCTGAGTAAAAATGAAATAATAATGATGATTAACTATTTATAATTGTAATTTTCATGCATTTTCTTCCACCATTTATTTCTTAAGGAGGGATGTATCTTTACCTTTTCGATCACCGGGCATCCAATCTGGCCTGGCCAGAATGGATGGGGGTGATCCATGGCTATGAGATTGAATTTGTTTTCGGGCTGCCACTGGTGAAGAGGCTCAACTACACCCGAGATGAGGAGAAGCTAAGCCGACGTATGATGAAATATTGGGCCAACTTTGCTCGGACTGGGTGAGGCCACAAAAAAAAAACTACCTATGGAATCAGGGTCTATGTCCACGTCCAGTCTTTTTTATGCAAATGCACCTCAGCAGCCATGTTTTTCAGTCAAAATAAATAATGCAGGAAAAGCTGTATGAGTAAGCAGCCCTTTAATTCCTGTGAGACTGCAGGTTAATGAGTCTTGACATGAATTTGGAGGCACAGAGAGCTTCTCCTGACAGTTAACCCTCATGCTACTTGGCTTAAAGGAAAGGCTTTAATAAGTAAATGTTAATGCTGCGAGGTACACAGTGGGGGAAATTAAATTATTTGATCTCCTTTTGAAATTGTATCCAGTTACAAAGAATTGAGAAAGCTACAATTTATTTTAATAGTAGCATAAACTGTCAGCAAAAACAAAACATTCTGTAACAGTTGCAAATTCATGTGCATTTTAGTGAGTGATCAGTATTTAATCAGCTTGGAAGACAATTCAGTACTTGGTGGAATGACTGCAGCAAGAAACACTGTCAGACATTTCCTGTATTCAATTCAGTTTTATTTATACAGCGCCAAATCACAACAACAGTCGCCTCAGAAGATGTAATGCATTTTGTTCATTATTAAGTTGCGAGTCTACACAACAGCCAAGCTTCTGTCTTTAGTTATTAACATTTGAAATGCACGTGTGGACGTAGCCTAAATATCTTATTTTATTGCATTCTTATTATGATTCTGTTGTGTGTCAGTTGTATCCGGGGAAGTGAAAGAGTTCCCCCTCATGTCAAAAACGTCACGTCAGCGAGTCACTCCTCACTTCCCTGACACTTGATTTGAATGACTGTATCTTGTTTTTCACATACTAATGTGGACTACTCTTTATTGAAATAAACTGTGTCTGTTAGTCGACCTATCAGCACAGAAACCCACCAAACCCAACCAGCATCATTACAGTTACAGGTCTTCTTATCCTAGAGCTGTGAAATATTTTAATGTTTGCTACCAACTAAGTGTAATTACATTCAGTCCTTCACCAAAAACATGATATACTCTTCTTAGTAAATTGATATTCACCACCTAGACATATTTATCCTACAAATGTTAGTCTCTATTAAACATAAGCAGATTTGAATGATTAGCTTTTTAATCTGCAGACAGAACAAAAGCTGTTTATGCTGGTGAAGCTCTGACTCTGTCAGACTGCTGTTGTCTCGGTGTTGAATATTTAATAAGTCTTTTCTCAGAAGCCGCAGCAGGTCACATCGACGCTGGCCATGCTGCACACTGATAAACCACACCAGGACGTGCACACGCACTGAGAAAGTCTCACATAGATTCACTAGTTGCTAAAGATAGAGCCTTCAATCCAGCCTTGAGATGATTATTTATTTTATTGCATATGATTCTATTGGCTGTTCGGGGTTGTCTGTCCGATCCAATCTTAAATCCACACTGGTGAAACTTTCATACTTCTGTCCTTTCTCGTCTCATCTCTCCCTCCCTGATTCTGCCTGTTCTCCGTCCTCGCCTGTACTGTAATCACATTACTCTCTCTCTGTCTTCTCTGTAGATCTGAGTGTACACAGAGCATACCCTGCCATCCTTGTCTGATGAAAGAGTCACGACATCTGCTTCAGATACACAGACCATATTCGCATACAAAGATGCAGCCCACTGTGGTTCTTCTCTTCTCCTCGATCTTCCTCCTGGCTTTCATCATCCCATTCTGCTTCTCCCAGAACGAGGGAGACCTGGTTGTTCAGACACGTACCGGTCGAGTTCGAGGCATCCGCCAGCTGGTGCCGGATCAGAGCTACATAACTGCTTTTCTGGGCATCCCCTTTGCTGAGCCCCCACTGGGGAACCGCCGTTTCCGTCCTCCGGAACCCAAACGTCCGTGGACTGGAGTGATCGAGGCCAAGGAATACCCCAACGCGTGCTATCAGTATGTGGACACAGCATTCCCAGGCTTCCAGGGCAGTGAGATGTGGAATCCTAACAGAGACATGAATGAGGACTGCCTCTACCTCAATGTCTGGGTGCCCTCCTCGCCCAGACCTCACAACCTCACTGTCATGGTGTGGATCTATGGTGGAGGTACTTAAGAATTCACAAACCATACTGGGAATATCACTCCAATTGTCATTGGAGCACTGGGTTAGCCGTTCCTGATATATTACATTAGAAAATTCCTCGTCTGTCAGATTATTTTTTATGTAGAAGGATTGAGGATATTACGCTGGAATTCTAATCATTAAACGTCTTGAATAACAGCGATGAATTGTTGTAGTACGCTCTAATATTGTAGGTTAATGCTGTGATATTCCATGTTTCCAGGCTTCTACAGTGGATCTTCTTCTCTGGATGTGTATGATGGTCGTTACCTAGCTCACAGCGAGACAGTCATTGTGGTTTCGATGAACTACCGGATCGGTGCTTTCGGCTTCCTGGCTCTGCATGGCTCCTCCGAGGCTCCTGGCAATGTCGGCCTCCTTGACCAGAGGATGGCGCTGCAGTGGGTACAAGACAACATCCATTTCTTTGGTGGAAACCCTAAACAGGTGTGTTTCTCATTGCTTTATTTGTCAGGTCTCTGTTATGCTAGAATTAATATGAGCCTGTTTTGATTTAGTTTTCTATTTGTTCTCTCTGTGAAACAGGTTACGATCTTTGGCGAGAGTGCTGGTGGAGCTTCAGTAGGATTCCACCTGTTGTCTCCAGACAGCCGACCCACTTTCACTAGAGCCATCCTCCAGAGCGGGGTCCCCAACTGCCCCTGGGCCTCAGTGAGTCCCGCTGAAGCCCGCAGACGTGCCACACAGCTGGCAAAGTTTGTCGGTTGCAACGGAGGAAACGACACCGAGATAATAGACTGTCTGCGCAGTAAAAGTCCACAGCAACTTATCGATCATGAGTGGCAGGTAATTTACACAAATTCTGCTTGACTTATCATGTTGTTTGCAACGTGGACGAGAGACTTATTTTCAGTTTGATGTTTTTTAATTTCAAACCACTGGTTCTTTGATGCAATGGTTTATTACCTGTGGTTCCTACTAAGTGCACAATATGTTGTTAAGGATCAAAATCAGACCGGACTCAAACGCAAGACTCTCTCAAACAGTTCAGGAGAGTGTTCCCAAGAACACAAAACAGCCCACTGCTCTCCAGCACGGGCTTCTCCAACCAAGGGGATGTAGTTAGTAAGTTTTTCTCATTCAAAGCCAAGTTGCACAAACACGGATATAAGGAGCCGTGTTTCAGTAACTGAAGACCGAAATGGGAGGTCAGACTAACGAGGACAGAGGGACCATGCCAGTATGTACCTGTATCAGTCAGGGCTGCAACTGAAGATTATGTTGGTAGTTGAACAATCTGCCAATTTTCCTTCCATTAGTCGGTTGGCCAGTGATTATTTCAACAACTCTCACAGTGCTGTGGGCAAACCTGTTCTAGTCTTCAGTCCTCACCTGCTCAAATCTGCCCACTCTGCTGTCTCGTTCCACAGAAAATTAAAATAATGAAACACATGAATTTGAAAATAATCAAATGTATTTTTAAAAGGACTCAATAGGACTGTCAGAATAAAAATCATATAAATAAAAATATTAGTTGTACAAATTAAAGTGCTATTAGTATTTAAATACAAAATAATGTGCAAATAGGAAACTAATTTGCTTTCTAGTCCAAAATAACAAGTTAACCCTGTAATGCTATAAGTTTCTGCGACCTCTGTCTCATCAACATCAATACTTCCCATAATTTCAAAATGTTGTGGACAAAACTCTTTTTTGTCTAAAATTAACATTGTTGCCAAAAATGCCCAATGTATCAAAAATATAATAAAAATATATCATACACAACACGACATAGCAAAAAAATATTGTGGATTTTGTTTTAAGGGTTAATAAACATCTCAGTTCAAAAAAATCTGAATTTTCTGGCTATTTTTTGACGGGTTGGGTCTGACAGGGTTAACAAAGTTTACAGATGATTCAGTTCATGAATGCACAATTACTCTGAACATATTCATCACGATCATTTACCAACAAAACAGATTTAGAAAAGACCGTTGCTCATCACATATTTGGTTATAGATCATAGTTTCTCATTAGGTGGAAGAGGTTTACTACAATATTAAAGTGTGAGATTTAAAGATTTACTATCACGTTTCATCCTGAGAAGTTTCTGACAGCTAATGTAAACATTACTGTAAAAACATTCATATAAACAACATGTCAATGCAACCCACTAACTTGTCAAAGGAGCTTGCAAAGAAAAGCGTCTGGACTTCTTTAAGTTGCTTGTCCCTCTGTGGGGGGAGAACTCCCACTAGGTTTAAATCTGGGACTCCCACCATTTGACCTTAGAACTGAAGAAGCTTCTCGGATGAGAGGTGAAACGTCTTCAAGCAACTTAAAGAAGTCCAGACGCTTTTCTTTGCAAGCTCCTTTGACTACGATGACCTGGATGACTGAGAACCTTCACAGACAACCCACTAACTTCATAAAACTGACCCATTTGGACATCGCAGCTCCAGCGTGCCAGCGTTTTAAATGCTCGTGCACTGCATCAGTGCTGTCATGGAAGGAAAGCTCTGCTTTGCACAGTCTGCATTTAACTTTGTTTGCTGTTACATGCTTGCACATTTTTTTAAATCTCCCTGTCGCCAAATCTTTATAATCGATGACGTCATGTTGACGAATCGTTGCAGCCCCAGTACCAGTATGTCTGTTACTGGGGTAAGTCACACAAAAGGAGTAGCTTGGTTCTGGAGTAGGAAGTAGCACTTCTTGGTGTTTATGTTGCGTTATTTCACAGTCCCATGTGGGTTTGTCATCCATGCAGGTTCTGCCATGGTCCGCTCTGTTCCGATTTTCATTTGTGCCTGTTGTGGATGGCGAGTTTCTGCCCGACACTCCTGAGGCCATGCTCAACTCAGGGAACTTTAAAGACACGCAGATTCTCCTCGGCGTTAATCAGAATGAAGGCTCCTACTTCCTGCTGTATGGAGCACCAGGCTTCAGCAAGGACAACGACAGTCTGATCTCCAGAGAGGACTTCCTGGAAAGTAAGGATGGATATATGTAACTGAGCAGAGAGAATTGTATAAATCCATCCAAAACATTCAAGTTAATTCTGCTTCAGGTTATTACGGCACAGTTTTACTTGTATCGTGTTAAAACCTTCAGTGTCACTCTTCCAGGTGTTAGGTTGAGCGTACCTCATGCTAATGATATCGGCCTGGAAGCAGTGGTGCTGCAGTACACCGACTGGATGGATGAGAACAATGAGATAAAAAATCGTGATGCCATGGATGACATTGTCGGTGACCACAACGTCATCTGCCCGCTGGCCCACTTCGCTCGCTCTTATGCACAACACAATGCCCTCAAGGCTAACGTGGGTGGCATCAACTTTGGTGGGGTGAACAGTGGAAACTCACAAGGTAGGATACCCGAGTACCAGTGTGGTCTGTCAGATCTAGAAGTATATATATCCCATACCCAGACACGCTACTGTTTGAAGGACCTGCTTTCTGGTGATAGAACAATTTGGTACGATACTTAAATTAAACTGTGCGTTAAATT